ATGTCTTATGCAAAAACTCTGGATAGCCAAAATAGGCTGGGACGATCCAGTAGATAAATCTATTTTCGACCTTTGGACTCAATTTCAAAATGAACTTTCGTGTTTATCCCAAATTAAATTTCCACGACACATTTTTTCTAAAGGAATCCTCCGATGTCAATTGCACGCCTTCTCAGATGCTTCACAGCTTGGGTATGCTGCTTGTGTCTATTTAAGGCTAGAATTACCTGACGACGTTATCAAAACTTCCCTGATAATAGCCAAATCACGAGTCAGTCCCTTGAAAACTATTAGTCTACCAAGACTAGAACTTTTGGGTAGTGCTCTTCTTAGCGATCTAGTCAACTTCGTCGTGAAAATATATTCACCTCTAATAACAATCGACGAAGTCTTTGCCTACTCAGATTCTCAAGTTGTTTTTTACTGGATTTCGACTTCACCACACAGATGGAGAACTTTCATCGCTAATAGAGTTAGCCATATACAAGAAGAAATTCCTAATGTCAATTGGTATCATGTTAAATCACAAGAGAATCCCGCGGACGTAGCTAGTCGTGGTAGTACACCTGCTAACTTCATAAACCACCCCTTGTGGTTTACAGGCCCAACCTGGCTAAGTTTACCATGTTCCTCATGGGACCTAAAAAACCCTTGTTTGGGAAATTTAGATTCAGATTTGGAAGAAATATCTCAAGAAGAAAAACGTGTTACTCTGACTACGACCATTGAGTGGAATTTTGTAGACGAGCTTGTTAATCGGTATTCATCACTGACTTATATTAAAAAACTTATCTGTCGCAGTCACAGAATCTTTCATAATTTTAAAAACAAGGAAAATCCACTTACTGGACCAATATCTGTATTCGAATTACAACATTCTCTACTCGTCCTGGTAAGGCGTAGTCAGGAAGTACATTTTTCCAAACTAATTTCACAAATTAAAAACAATGAATTATTGCCAAAACCATTCCGAAAACTCGCCCCTTTCTTAGACAAGACCGGTTTCATCAGGGTGGGCGGACGTATAAGACATACCGACGCCATTCCCTTTGAAGCCAGGCATCCTCTTTTACTAACCAGATCAGACAGAGTAACTCAGCTAATTATTGAACATATTCATGCAGAAAATCTGCATCCTGGACTAAATACGGTCCAACACCTATCACGTCAACAGTTCTGGATTCTTTCCTCACGCAGAGCCATTCAGGCTGTTCTGTCTAAATGCATAAGCTGCTATCGTCTTCGACCAAAAGCCTATACGCCTTATCAAGGAGATTTACCATCTTTCCGTATTTCCCAGGGTAAATGTTTTTCTCATGCTACCCTAGACTATGCAGGCCCACTAAAATTACTACCAGGCCGTTGGTACCGTGGCAATCGAGAATTCAAGGCATATATTTGTATTTTTTGTTGCGCTAGTACGCGCGCTATTCACATTGAACTAGCCTCGAAGCCTCGGATCTCACAGCTGACTGTTTTATAGCAGCCCTTTGGAGATTTGTCGCTAGACGAGGCCGTTGTAATTACCTATACAGTGACAATGGTACGAATTTTGTCGGCGCAAATAATCAGCTCATAGAACTTTCGAGGTATGCCGCCGAACATCTTCATATAAAATGGCACTTTTTCCCTAGTGCAAGTCCTCACTTCAATGGTCTATCCGAAGCCGGAGTTAAATCCGTGAAAACTCACCTTTATCGAGTAATCGGAGACCAAAAATTAACTTACGAGGAGCTTAATACTTTGCTGGTCCAAATCGAAGCGGGCATTTCCTCACTATGGAACCACTTAACTCGTGCCCCGATCCAGACTTATCACATCTCAAGCTTAACACTCTTTCGCGATGGCAACTTATTCAGCGTCTAAATTCTGACTTTTGGAAGCGTTGGAAGGAAGAATACCTTAACACTTTACAGCAGAGGTCCAAATGGACAGAAACACCGTCGAAGGTGAACTTGGACAGTTTGGTTGTCATTAAGAATGAAAATAAGCCACCTTTGCAGTGGTCTCTTGGCAGGATTGTCGAATTACATCCTGGCCCTGATGGGCATGTTAGAGTAGTAACTGTAAGGACTCCACAAGGGCTGTTCAAGCGCCCTATTGTAAAACTTTGTCCTTTACCGTTGAACTAAGCACTCGAGCCATGCTCAATTTATGTTCGTATCGTTTCCGAATTTTCGTTTACTTTATTTAATTTTTTCTTTTTTTTTTTGGGGGGTATTTTCTAAGGGGGAACTGTTCAATTTTTCTAAGTGGGAACTGTTCAAATTAAAACAATCGTTTTAGGTGGGCAGAAAATGTTTGTGCAAGTTTTATTATGTTTAAATTCTTAATTATTCGAAATAATGATTACGTTGCGCATGAACCATACATATTCATTATTGTATGACACCTCAAGGGTGCGCAAGCAAGTATGTGCGCAAGGAGTCGCTCTCTTACATTTTGGGCACCTAACTGGCGTGACTTAAATATTTTCAATCCGCAAAATTTACCAAAAATCAGTGGCGATATCTCAAAAAAGGGTTCAAAACCCAATCGTGACGTGGTGCTGTAGCAGAACTAGAAAGGCCTGGGATCCCAGAGGAAAGAACGATTTTTCTATGACAGAAAATCAATCGAGGTGAGTGTCCTTTTATGATTTTGTATGGTTCCCGTCCATTCACATTCTTTGTCAAATAAAATAAAATTACAGTCCACTTTCAATTGATCGAAGTAAAATTAATCTCAATATATTATTTTTTAAACCCTATTCTTACGCAAACAGATAATAAGGTTTATTTTTGAATTTTGATAATTTTGAGTGCATTTTTGCGAATGATATAATTGTATACAGTGAGGACATAAAGTCCGTCGCCCCCCTATAACTTCTGAACCGCTCGGTATATTGCAAAGAAATTTGGAATGATGATATGTGGACAGTTCTCCATTATCTGAAAAACAAGTGACAGCTTCACCTGTCAAAATAGCAGATGAGCGCAGTTTTGAAACATTTTTTTAAATAGAAGGCGGTGTCGAGTGACATATCGTTTCAAAAATCTTTTTATTCTTAATTTAATCTCTGATTCTGAAAACATTTGGTTTAGTGATGAAATGATGATGAAACAAAAAAGGCTTGTTTTGGTCATAAATATTTTTTTTTTATTTATAACCTGTTTTACTTATTTAAAGTACTCCTCAGCGTGTTTAAATCCAACATTAAAAAACGCGCGTGTTTTAAAGTTATCATGACAACATCAACAACCCAAACAAGTCTAAATCTCTGTCTAAATGTCAACTTTCCAATTTTTGATTTGTCAGGAGTAGGTTAGGTACTTGTAGATAATGTCAAATAAAATATAACAAGTGTTAAGCACGAATTTAGCATTCTCCAATTATTAGTAATTTATGGTTTGAACGTATACCAATAAAAAAAAATAGTGTAAAGTATTCGTGGATAACTGGTCTTTAAAACACTTGCTCTATTTCGAGCACTCCGGCTGCGCCGTCGTGCTCGAAAAATCGCGCGTGTTTTAAAGACCTTAATATCCACTTATACTTTAATATACTATTTTGGTAATTGGATCATTATTTTTTGAGTACTTTTGTTTTTTTTTAAGTGACCAATATCATTACGTCATCATTTATTACTGAAAAAAAAAACAATAATTAATAAAAAACCGATAAATATTTTTTTTCCATAGCTACTGGTAAAGTATCCTTCAATCTATTAAAAATGGTAGATAAAGTAGTACTTCAACCGCAAGGGTAGATAAAATGATACTTTAACAGCAAGGATAGATAAAGACGTTTATTTTGTCAAAAATATACACATATTTTGTTTTTTATTTATTTGTCAAAGTTTGTCAAACGAATTTCTACTTATGCAAAAGTGTTCGACTCAAATAATTTGTAAATATTTTTGATACTACAGGCATCCATAGACCATAATTAGGCTATGGGAAAAAACTTTGTTTTACATACGACGATAAAATGCCATTATCGTCTCCCGGAATTAATTCACTCGCGATTCCGCTCGTGAATTAACTTTTCCGGTCAACGATAAACTACCATTTTATCGTCTTGTATAAAAAATAACTATTTTTGTTTTTTGTACTGTTTTTTGTACTGCATTTGGCTTTTGCTTGAGTGGTGTCTTTCTGGGCTGTGTGTTTTCACTGTCGGTAGATTTTTTCCTCCTTTCCGATTTAACTGGACGTGATGGGTTCTATGTCGCTGTTGTCGTAATCGCTGTCACAATTATCGGCAGTTGAAATCTTCGTCGGAGGCTAGTTCCATCACTTGTTGATTCACCATTTTGGACAAGCGACGGTTTTAACGTCATTTTGGGGTTTGAATGCACTTACGGCGATTTTAAATTTTTCATTTTCGCTGAAGGTGGCTTCTACTTCTACTGCCTGGCTGAGATTGACGTTGTCGTTTGGCAGACGAATCACATCTTGTTTCAATGCTTCGTTTTCTTGTACTTCTTATTGAAAACTCTGGATTTGTTGCAGGATCTGTTGCTGCCAATCACTGGCTTGTGGTTGGTTCATAATCTTTCACTTATCACATTGTATCACAGACTTCAGAATTTCAGTTCGGAAACTAACGGAGTTCTTAGTAAAACAAAAAAGAGTAAACACATTTTTTCGGCAACTATCCTGAGAAGGACTGTTGCTTCAACGAAAGCATGCACTTGAATGAGATTATAGTGTGAATACAGCTAAATTGTAGTCCAAGTTATTGTATACTACTTATTTTAAAAAAAATTTGGGGTTTTGGAAAATAACTAAGTAGTAGAGTAGAGTGAATCTGGATTGTTTTATTGAGATGGTTGAAAATCAGATGAACGTTGGTAAGCTGATCAGATGTAAAACTGCAAATAGCAAAATTGCAAATTAAAGTAGGTACTTTTGAACAACACACAAAACACACAAGTAGGTACCACTTAATTGAGTACCAAGCTCTACCCAGTCCTGGACCAGCATTATTAAACAAGTCTGAAAATTTATTTATGTTACCCTTTTTGGAAGAAACAATCCATGTGACCCCATAATAACGAGGAGTGCAGTGGAATAGAAAATTATGAATATCACCGCCAATGTAGTCATATCTGAAACAATAATGAAAAAAAAAATTAATTTATTTTAGCATTCAATGCAGTCTATTGTTAAATAATTTACATGTCAAATCATACTCGACAGAGGCAGAAAGGGGACCATTCCATAGATACAATCCTGGTTTTTAATATGTTTCTTCAAGTGGCAGATTAAAAGGTCCCCCTTCTTCTCTGTGCCGAAATAAATTTTATATATCTCGTGACTTTTAGCTTCACGCAATTACTTATTATTAGAATGAGTACAGGGGGCTGCCTTTTCGCTTGTAGAACTAAGTGGCATTCACCCCCGCATTCCACACAGCGGAGCACGAGAGTGTTTCATTGTTGTGAATCGCAGGGGTGCTGCGGGCTCCGGCCAATAAAGTAGGACCATTTATCACTGTTAATAATTCGCTTTAGAGTTGCTTTGATTCCTCACATTTAACCAGCTTGTTATTACGTTGTACGTTATGGTATGGTGATAACTTTGAAATCAGTGGATTAAATAATTGACCATCGGCAATTGGGCAGATTCTGGGATATATTGTAGTTTGACCAAAATTAAATGTAGGTACTTTTTTCAAGTAAATTTACAATTACTATTAGAAATAATTCGACTCATAACGGCCCAAATGTGGAACAAATTTTAGGTTGGACTTAGTATCGAAATCGATCATCTTCCAATTGCCGTCTCCGTCGACTATGAAATGTTATCTGAGGGTTTAGTATTGACCAAAATTGGAAATTAGCGTTCTAGCGACGATAATACGACCCATTGTTTTCCCAGAATTGGGAGACAAAAATAAGATTCGTAATATATGTACATATAGTTTGGTCGGATGTTTTGTGTATTTATTTTGCAACTTTTGAATAATAAGTCATTCAGCATTTGAAAAACGAGTAATGACTGTATCTTTAACAAGTTTGAAGATGTTTCAGCTTTTGCAGAGGCGAGAGGCGGCATGGCATATCTTCGAAAAGAACATCTTTTTGGTGTTACCTTATGGTGTACCCATTGATGTCTCGCTCCCTATTTCTTCAAGTTGCTGTTGAAATTAGTAGAGTTGACGAGCTTTTCATAACCCACCCCTTTACTTAGTCGTTAACATGATTTATGTAAACTATAGCCTAAAGATTGGTAGCCCACCTGAACTGTTTATTGAAATTGAATCCTTATAGGCATTTTCGCTGACCAATACTGGGCGATCACAAATTAAAAAATTAATTCCACCACAAATGTATTATTGGTTGCTTCATGACTTTTGTTAGCTGGAATTTTTGAAACATGTCAACATATGACGCCTTTCCTTGTCATATATCTAGTGCATCGCAACGGTTAGCTTTTTCCATAAAGTCTTTTCCACCTTGTTTATAATTTGAAATTGGGAAAAGATCAACTGCGATGCACTCGTAATTCGAATCTATCGAACGCGGTTGAACAACCAAGAATACTCGCACCACAAACCTTAAAATAAATCCAGATTCCTCTCTGTTGACAAAAAATCGGCAATATTTTCCAAAGTGCTTAGGTAGAAATTTTCTCAATATCAAGGGCATGTCTTTTATCGATATTTTGGGTGATTTGCATTTAATCAACAAGTCGGTACTGTTACCACCGTGCGACTTGTTCTCATTGTAAGAAAAGTAGGTACCATATAGTTTATACGAAGTCAATCCAAATAGCATTAAAACTGTGTAGGCGGCATATTCCTATGAAATTAAGCATATGCGTGCAACAGCCTAGGAATTAGAATTAGAATACTTCGTTCTTGGGAAGTTCTACTAGTCCTAGGCTGTTGCACGCGTATATGAAATAATGTTTCATATGAAGATGCCGCCTACACAGTTTTTATGCTATTCGGATTAACTTCGTATAAACTATACCAAGCTATAAATATTCGTAATGTCAAGAAAATCTCCTACAAATACTTTGACCATATTTCCTAAATCGCGCTTCAGATATCTACCTAATTAGGTACCTATAGTATTTACAAAGTCAGTTGAAACAAGGTAAAGGTAATTTGCAACTGGTGGCTGACTAGTGACAGTGCATTTCTTGTGAAAATATTTAGTCACCAGTTGTAATTTACCTTTACCTTGTTTCAACTGACTTTGTAAATACTACAGGGTGTCCATCTATAAACTGACACATTTTACCTGCTGCATTTTTGCCAAGTTTCAAAATTTACCTGAAGTAGGAGGAAAAAAATTGATGATTTTCAAAGGCCGATTTCGCAAAAGTTTTAAATGGAACACCCTGTACTTTTTAATTTTACATGAAAGCCTGTTATTTCTCCTTTCTGAAAATCCATAAATTGTTTTTCGTGGCTTTCATTTTTTTTTTGTCCGGAGCCAATTTTAGTAAATGACCCCTTGGCCTTTTTTGAAAGTTTCCCTTCATTAATTAATGATTAATGGTAATTGCCTATGTATCGCTCTAGCATGATTATACTTCAATGATTTGCGCTGTTGTGATGTTTATGAAAACTATTTATTCTATGTACTAAATAACAACTATTAAACAATACTAATAAATAAGAATTGCCAAGAGTAACAATAACCTCGGTAACACTACTTATAACAATTTTAACAATAAACAATTGAAGAAAATAATTCTAATTTATAACTAATAAATTAGCTGCTGTCACCCTCAGCTCGCAACACCTATGTAAACGCAGAAATAAGTTGTTGAAGGCGTTTTGTAGCATTTGTGATGTAATTCGGTTAAAAACGTTTACTATATTGTTGCGCAGTTCATCCAAATTTCTTGGGGATGGATTGAAGCAACGTTCCTCTACATATCCCCATATATGAGGATTAAAAAATGTTTCCAAAGTATCGGTGTAATTGTTTCCATTCATTATTGCTTCTTGAAAAAAATGGATCATAAATTTTAGATTTCGATACTGCACACCAAAGATTCAGCAGAAGCATCTCTTTAACATTCGTTATAACCTCGAGGATTTTCATCACCCCTTATCATCATTCCTTGAATACTACTTTTGGAAACAGATGGATAGGGCGAGCAGGTCCAAACGAGTGGGCACCCTATTCTCCCGATCTAACCATTCCAGATTTTTTTTATATGAGGATATGTAAACAGTGGCGCCGACTTTTGAAAGTCTTCATGGGTGCAGGATATTGATAAATAACTTAACTTTACACTTCACAAATTTGTTTATAGGGGGAGAAGGTGGGCGAATTTTTTTTTCTGGATGCCACGTCCAAAAACGTCTATTTTATAGTGTTTCCGATTGCTGAATTCGGGCAGCACTACAGCAACCCTCACTCAATTTTTGCATTCGATTTTATCCCCTCCCGTATGCCTAGATGGGTAGTATACATTTTAAACAAACATTTAAAAATTTAAGTATTTATTTTCATTTATACAGAGTGAGTTACTAAGCGCGTGGTCGTCCATATCTCCTATACTAGCGCAGATCAAAGAAAAAACTAAATACAAAACTTGTAGATAAACATGAGTACCTACTACATTCCTAAATTAATCTCCAGTATACAGGGTGGCCCAATAACTAGTAGTGACACAAAGTTATGTTTTTTTAAATGACTCCCCCTGTATATTATTATATTTCTGAATTCTGCGGAAAATTCTAGACATACCTATTTCATGTATAATGTCATATACTTATCTTCAACTTTCGAGAATATTGGCAGTTTAAAATTGACTTTTTTGCATCTTTGACAGACTGTAAAACCTAAACGGTTAATTTTAGAGGAAAACCGATTTTATATTCCTGTCTTAAATTTTCATAAGGTATCATTTGACACTAACTTTGAATTTAACCGAAGATTAATAATTTGAGCGGAATTTTTAAACATGGATTAAATTAAAGGTTGGGGTCAAATGATAGTTTATAAAAAAACTAAGAGAAGAATATATGATCGGTTTTGCTGTGAAATTACCCGTTCAGGTTTTCCAGTCTGTCGAAGATGCAAAAAAGTCAATTTTCATCTATCAATATTTCCGAAACAGCTGAAGATAGGTATATTATGCTTTGAATGTAAAACTACAGGAAGGAGCTTTTTCTATCTGTCACTACAGACAACGCAGGGACGGAAACGGCCATATTGAGCCTTCAAGTATAGACTTATCATTTGTTTTGGTGGTTCGCAGTGTCCTTATTCAAGTGGATGTTTAATGGATTTTAGCGGTTTTAAGTGATAAAGTCTGTTTTTTTTTAAAGATAAAAGTCAAAATGACATTATGTTGGCAATATAATGTAAAATTGTCAATGCTTTCAAATTTCTTATGTAGAAAAGGCTTGTGGTGCCAACATAGTTACTAAATTTTTGACTTGGGGAATTATCTTTAAAAAAAAACAGACTTTAATAAGCACTGGGATTAGTGCGAAAAGAGTGAGTCATAATATTGAAAATCATATTTAAATAAATATATGCCACTGCCAAACCGGAAACACTAGTCGGCCATATATGCAACCTCCACATATTCTGGTCGCGCAGATTCGAGGTTGACGAGGTTATGCTCCTTCCTGTAGTTTTATATTCGAAGGGTACCTATAAGACATTGTACATGAAATATGTCTAGCATTTTCCGTAGAATCTAGGAATGTCATTATATACAGGGAGAGTCATTTAAAAAATATAACTTTGTGTCACCACTACTTATTGGGCCACCCTGTATCCTGGAAAATAATTTAGAAATGTAGTACTCTTGTTTATCTAAAAGTTTTGTATTGAGTTTTTTTTTCGTTCTCCGTTAGTGTAGGAGATATGAATCACCGCACACTTAGTAACTCACCCTGTATAAACACAGTATCCTATTTTGGTTGTACATACATAAGGGATATCTCAGTTGCTATTGGAGTTAGGATACGGTTTTCGCGAACGTTAGCTACTTTTCTGTCAAACAGATGCTGTCAACCAAATTGTCATCGCCCTTGACGCCCTTTTCGTTTTTCAGATACAAGGAAAAAATTGCATTTTGGGACACCTCTTATTGTATCTCAGTTCTCTCATAAGTGATCGAAAGGGAC